TTATGGTAACTCAGTGGAGAACAGCAAACGTGGGGCAGTCACCACTACGTACCGAGATCCCCTTCTCCCTTCCTTCTGGAGCAAACAGAAGACCAGACCTCCCAGCTCCCCTGAAGTCAAGTGGGGCCACGTGACTGGTTCCAGCCAATGAAATCTGAGCAGAAGCGCCCATGCTGCCTCGGGGTGAGGGCAGTGGAGAGTCCAAGGATCAGTCTCCATTCTCTCTTTTCCTGGAGGGCAACTGGCAACAGAGGAAGCCACTCCTTCCAGATGATGCCACAAGAAAGTGGAGCCTCCACCAGCTTGCACCCTCGGGTGACTATGGAGCAGGGTCTCCCATTGATCCATCTGGAAGGTACCATGAGTGAGAAATACACCTGTGCAGCTACCACCACACAGCCTGGCTTATCCTTGGTGACACAGGACGCCATGAGGAGAAGGCTCAAGGGTGCAGGAGCGAACCACTCTTTTTATTTCTATCATTTCTTATACAAATAATCCATGGTGGAAAAACTAACAAAATACAGATCAACAAAATAACCCGTGATCCAGAGGTAATCGTTGCTAACTTCCTGGGGTATATTCTTCCAGACCTTTCCACAGTCAGATATATAAATATAAATATATGTGTTAAATATACTTATTATACCTCAAATGTTTTCTTTTCACTTCATGATATGTGTGAACAACTTTACCCACAAGCCTTTTCTAGAAGAGCCTGTGGCATATCTAGACGCACCCAGAGCTGACCTGCAGTGACAGCCCTGGCCCGGCCACTGCTGAGCTCCAAGGCCGGCCAGGTCACTGCACTTCTCTGAGCCATCTGCTCATCAGGAAATGAAGAATTTAGACTAGATTAGCCTTAAGGTTCCTCCTGACAACAAAGTCCAGATTTTGTGACTGTTCCACTTCTAGAGAAATTTTCCAGAGCCTGGCACAGGGCCTTAGCCATAGTGGGCTCTCATGAAATATTTGTTGAGTGAATAATGCATGCATGTTCTGTATAATGAATAAATATTGTGATACTGATGATTTTATAAAGGAAGAATGAGAAATTCTGCATTATCTAGCTACAATGTCAAATGAATTGTCTGAAATTATGGGTAATCAGATGCCATGAGCATTTTCTTAAGTATTTCTGCTGAAGATTTCATTGTTACTGATTACACCCCCACCCTAGTCAAACCAGCACATGCAATCAGATTCAAAGTCTGACAGAAACCTCTGCAGACGATTGCTTCCTCCTTCCACGTCTCTGTCAGGCCCATATGACCTCCCTCCTTATCAACAGGGGCCACCTCCTAACACAGCTCACCTCCCTCCTGCACGGGTGCTTTTCGACCTCTCTGTGCTGTCAAGAGTTTCCTGAAGCAAAAACCCTCACGAATTGCCCCCCACCTCCCACACTGCTCACCCTCAGCTGAGGCTCAGATGGACCTTGCCCATCGACAGAGGACATCTGACCTGACAGCTGGATCATCCGCTCCTCTCAAGAGCGCTCTCTAATCCTTCCTGCCTCAGAATGTCTGCTCACGCTCATCCTCCCACCTGTAATGTCTTCCCCTCCCCTCTCAGCAGGTCAAAACCCAACTGGGCCTTCAGCCTGTCATCAGATCCAGCTCGCCGAGGACGTCTTCAATGAATCAGACTACTGAGCCTCACTGCCACCTTCTTCAAACCTCCACGGACCTGGATTATGCCCCCCTGGGGCACTTGGCATCTTATCTGAGTATTTGCCTCACAGGCATACGGGTCTTCTAATGTTTGTTGCCCTTGATACATTAAGTTGAACTTTATGAAACTGCCATTTTTGAAGGCTAAAAAATGGCTGAAAATTAAAGATTTCATATGGGCCAATCTAGTATCCAGCTGCTATTTCATAGATAGTATACATAATTTTCAATTAAAAACTATATATCCTCCGACTCTCCCCTGAAAACTCAGTTGATTTGTCTAAAAAGCCATTTTAGTTTTTGCTCTTAGGGCACAATCAGTGGCCATCTTGAGTCAAGGAACAGATAACAGGCAAGAGATCACAGTAGTGCACATAGCACGCTTTCCATCTACTTATTGGGTCAGGAAGGCGGCCCTGGGGAAGGAACATTCATACTAAGAAAGGAAGGATGAGACCAAGTTAGCCAGACAACGGACAAGAATTGGGAGACATCTTCCAAATAGGGAAAGAACAACGTAGAGCAGCTGTCAGAACGCAGTAATGTGGTGAGTGTAACTGCTTTCAGAGCCCGTCAGGTTTCCATCATGATGCAGCCTACCCACCCTGAAAGCGTCCATCACGTCAGGCTGCTCCCAGAGCTTGGGGAAGGTGGCCAGCACAGGATTACTCATTAAATCTGAAATACAAAAGAACAAAAGGGGTTTATACAAACTTTATCCAGTCTATTTTACTGCATTTAACATAAAAACATCAAATTACTGTTCCGCATGATTTGTTGATAACACATTCTACAACCTTAACCTCTGGGAGAGCTCAAAGCTGCCCCCTCCACCTCACCTGCCCCTACGACATCCACACCCCAGGGAGCTCTGAAGTGAGTCTTGGCCCAAGTAGACAAGACTTCTAGGGTGGGAGTGAAGTGGCTCTGACAGAATAAGACTAGAAAATTTTGTTCTTCTATGTTTTTTCCAACCTCTCTTTCCTCCTCATGACTGTGGTGTGGTAAAAGGAATCTTCCAGTTAGGAGGCCCCCCTGCTCCTGGAAGGCTGAGCAGGAACCAGGAAGCCAGTGGAAAGGGGGCGCAGGGCGGGCTGCTCAGGCCTGACTCCAGTCCCCCAGCGCTCAGGGAAGGACCCCAGACTGGTGTCTGGGCGTCACTGGATGGTGGAGGAGGAAACTGGAGGGAATCATGTGTTGGGATTCTGGCCACATGCCAAATACTGTGTAGAAGAATACTGATATTTCACAGCTAATCATGACACATGAGACTGTGCACAGAAGCCCACTGGGAAGGGGACTTTTGAAATGGCAGGGGGAATATATTCCACAAGCTTGAGTCCTTGGTAGAGAAAAACCCTGTTTCTAGATTTTACTAGGTTTATTCTGATGGTCAGGTTCAAGTGAAGTCAATGATTCTAAGAACTTCTCCTAACCCATAAGAAAACTAATAAGCCTTACCCTCTTTAAGAAGTCATGTCATTCATGAAGCTTTTCTAGAGTCATTGAAATAAATTTAAAGGCAAGTGATGATTAACAGGCTTAATTGTCCTTCCTTTAGAGTTGTCATTGTTCCTTGAGAAATGTCTGTGCTTCTCTGACTTTGAGATCCATTTCCAGGGACCTACCCAGGTGGTAAATCCCTGGGAGAGGACTCCTGTCTAAGCATGAACTCTACTCGTCCCTGAGCACCGAGCCATCACAGGGCTCTCCCTCTCACTCACTCCACTCCAGCCACATTGGCCTCCTTTCAATTTCAGTCCTTCCAACACAGCCCTGTTTTCTTGCCTTGGGTCTTCAGACATGTGGTCTCTCCATCCTGAAAGGATCGTCCCCACCCACCTCCCCCATACCTCTAACTCCTCTCTCGGGTCTTACGTGAAATACTACTTGCCCAGGGAAGGCTCCCCTCATCCTACACATTAATTCAAGTCTTCCTACTGCATGCTTTCATTGTGTATGTTCCTTCAGAACACTTATCTTTCTAAAAAAATTGACGCAAAGTGATCTATCATATCCATAATTTAGCGCCTTGCTTTTCTTGGTTAGAATTACACCCAGGGATCTTCCTGTAACAGCAGGAAGAGATTCCCCCTTATTCTTTGTACTGATTTGCTTAATGTTCCATTGTGTAAATAAATTTAATTTTTATAACCTTTTCCTTATTGCTGAATATTTGTGTCATTTACAAGTTTTTACTATTTATAAAAAATGGTGAGTTTCTTCTATGTGTAATTTGTTGTACTTTTGCAAGTATATCAATAGGGGAAATTTCCTGCTGAAATTGCTGCCTCAAAGTTCTGTGCATTTTACACGTTGATGAGTATTGGCAGATTGCCCTCCCAGATGTCGCATCAGTTTATCTTCATCTGTAGCATCATATCCTTGGGGCCCGGGATACGATCAAACTTTACTGACTGTCAATATGATGTGGGAAACATATCTCCTAGTTCTGATTTGCATTTCTTTAATTATACAAGTTTGTACACCATTTCACATGTTTATTGGCTGCAATCATTTCCCTTTAGAGATCTGTTAGTTCATGTGTTTTACCCATTTTTCTCTTGGGCGATTGTTCTTCCTTATTGATGGTATAAGCTCTTTGTAAGGTAAGGACATTTGCCCTTTGTCTTTCATATTTGACTTAGTTTTAAATTTTTTTCTACACAAAGTTTTAAATTCACAGAAATTGTAACCCTCTATATAGCAAGTGTATCAGTCTTTCATCACTTCTGGGTTAGTGTCTTGCTTAGAAAGCTTTCATTTGAAGATTATAAATAAGTTCACCCATATTTTCCTTCAGGACTTACACGATTTAATTTGTTTTGTTTAAACTGGGAGCTGGAATCCTCAGCCCCTTTTGTCCCAGGTTCTCAGGTGTCTTGTGTATCTCATGGAGCAGTATCCTCTTATGTTACTTTCCTGTGTATAATTTAAACATAAAACACATTCTTCAAAATAAACATTTAATGGTGACAGCAAATAATGGAAGCATTTCTGTTAACTTGTGATAAACCTCATTTCATGGGTTAAGCATTCACAAACTCAGAAACCATCAATTTTATTTCCTGGTTAATTGAATTCTGAATTGCGTGTGAAAGTTCCTGTGAAATTGTGGTTTTACTCTATAATGGTGTATGTTTTTTCCCAATCTTTCTGGTTATTTTAATCTATTTTCAAAAATGTTCAAAACCATCTGCCTTATTAATTTAGAGCATGGTTAGTTTTTTTATTGAGCATACTTCACTTTATCTAGAGATTTATAAAGGTAATCTAACCTGGGATTTCATAGATGCTTCCAAATCTAATGTTTCCCAAATGCCCCAACACAGAGAAGCAGAGCTCCGTAGCCTCCTGCTCTATCATTCGTTTCGCACAGCAGCTTTTCTGTTCTTTGCCCACATGTCCAAGAAATTTGTATATATTATTTGTTTAATCCTTACAACATCTCATTTTAATAAGTGTCATCATGGACGTTTAGTAAGTGGTCAGGGGTCACCCGGCTGGGAGGCAATGAAGCCAGAATGGGAACCAGGGTCTCCTGCACCCAGAGCCTGAAGTGGTGTGAAAGCCAGCAGGGTGACAGACACGTCTTCTTCCCATTTCTAGGCTACAGCCTCTGTTGCCACCGGGCCATCATCACCATCTGCCCGCTCACTGGCATCAAAGACATGTACGCCAAGGTCTCGGGGTTCATGAACATGCTCAACCTCACCCGGGGCCTCTTCCATGGGCTCTCCCACCAGGTAACCCTTCCCTGGGGGCTGAAACAGAACTTGTAGTTTGTGCCTCACTTGTGTGCGTTGGGACCATGACGTCCTGGGGTCCTCCTGGAGTGGCTCTCCCGGGGCCCCCTGAGGACTCAGGCATTCTCTGCTGTCTGTGGCTGCACTGGGTTAGTTAATCCAACTGAAGAGTCAGTTCATGAAGTCTAGCCTTTAGCAAATGCCTCATGGGTGTTCTGAAGTTTCAAAATTCAGTACTTTTAAGGCCAGTAATTAGAGTCTGTGTTTTGTTGTGAAAAGATCACATAGTTTTTCTAGAACTCCAACAATGTAGACATATAAAGTGAAAAGAAAAGGTCTGTTTCCTAATTTCATCCTTCCGGTTGGGACTGGGGTGACCTGGGGCGCCCCCTCTCAGGAGAGCCGTCGCCAGGAGCAGCTCAGTCAGTCCTCACGTCACCTGCACGGGTCGTTCAGACGGACACCTGAGTAAGTAGCCATGAGCATTAACGTGCTGGGGTATTTCTCTGCGTGGATGGAGGCCTGGACCACTGCCCAGCCGGCCCCTCAGCATGGGCTCAGCTCACAGTCAGTCCACTCCACAGCGGAGAGGAAGGCCTGTGACTGCACGGCCCCCTCCTCCTGGGCCGCCCTCCGACTGCTCAGCACGGGTGGCCCGTCCCTTGAAAGGATGAGTGGACCTTAGAGCTGATGAGCAGAAAGACGACCAGGTTCATGAGACTCTGTCTGCTGACCTCCATTTGGTGAGGAATTTGACAGACTTCCTGACACTTAGTGTGTTGGCTGTTTCTGAATAAAATGATCCATGGAATAAGTTTCCATGTCTCTCTCTAAAATAGGAAAATTATTTAAAAGAAAAAGGAAGCTTTGCTTAAAGATCTTTTTTGAACAACTTTCTGTGTGTGTGTATATTTTGGTACTACCTAAAACATCCTTCTAAAGCACTTCTGAATCCAAACTCATTGCCGGAGGTTTAATTGTTTGATGTAACTAAGGTATTGGTTCTAGATAGGTTATATTTATGATCACGTATTATGTGATATTTTGTTTTGCATTAGCACTTTGAATGTTCTGATGTAATTGCCGTGTATCATCTCTTCTAAAATGCCATCAGCTACAAAATAGTTGCATTAGTTAATATGCCACTCAGAAAAAAAATGCCACCAATATAAGCAACATGCCATTGATTGTAAGACACATCAATATAAATTCTTTTATTTTTTTTATGAAACAGCTCATCTGTTTTCAAATTTCAAACGTATATAGAGTTAGAATTGTACAAGGTGGCCATAAAATCGGGAAACATGAAATTGAACATATCAGGTATTTTAACATTCTATCAATAAACCATCTCCTACATTTATTTGCCTGTTTCCAGACTTTGTGGCTCCCTTCTCTGTTGACTCCCCACGGCCTTCTCACCAAGTATCAACAGTTAACAGCTCGTGGCCAGTCTTGTTTCTCAATACCACCCTCAGCCAGCCCCCATTGTTTTGAAGCAAATCTCAGACATCATTTTATTTGATCCATAAATATTTCAGTATGTATCTCTAAAAGACAAGAATTAAAAAATACCCCACAATACTCTTATTGTATCTAAAAAATTAACAGTAACCCAGTATACCATCAAATATCTAGTCAGTGTTCACAGAAATGTATCCATTTGTCAGATTTTAAAAATACTTTTTATGTGATTTGTTTGAATCAGGTTGCAGGAAGGGTCAATACATTGTAGGTCTTTGCATGTCTTCTAAGTCACTTGTAGTCTGTGACTCTTCTTTTTCTTGCAACTCTTTTGTTGCAGAAACCAGGTTGTTTGTCTGTAGTTTCCTAGTCTGGTGCTGACTCAGTTCCTGTGGGTCCTCACCGTCTTCTCTCTCTGCGTGTCCTGTAATTGGCAGCTAGAGCTGGCAGTGTGGGGCACAGCATGGCACAGAATTACAAGGGTTTGGAAGGCAGGAGGCCAAGGCCCTTCCGCCATCCCAGGTGGGGGTGGGGGGTGGGGCTGAGGTGATTCACCCACGACAGGTCACCAGAGTTTGCCCACAAAATGCATTGCCCAGAATTACCTGAAATGGTAATTTAAGTCCCCCAAGCGGTCTGGTGTTTCCACTGCTGACTTCCCTCTGGCTGATGGAAGCTCCCGCTCTAAGTTAGAGACGCACCTCAGAGAGCTAACCTGCCGTTCTCACTCGGGTCTTGCGCAGGAAACCCACCAACAGCTGGCTGATAAGAAGAGCCTCCACGTGGTGGAATTCCGGGAGGAATGCGGCCCTCTGCCCATCGTGGTTGCCTCCCCCCAGGGGCCCTTGAGAAAGGATCCGGAGCCAGAAGATGAGGTTCCAGACGTCAGACTGGACTGGGAAGAAGTGAAGGCTGCACAGGGAATGAAGTGCTCAGTGTGGTCTGGTTTAAAGAGAGCCGTCACCTGAGTGCCCCTCTGGCCTTGTGAGGCTGCAGCGTCTGAAGCTGTCCAGCCCCTGGAAGACGTTGAGCCCTTCACCCCTTGGAATTTCACCTTTGGATTTAAAGGAAAGGCCAACCTTATTTACAAATAATAAATAATTACAGCTTTAGGGGCCGCCCCGTGGCTGAGTGGTTGGGTTCGCACACTCCGCTTTGGTGGCCCAGGGTTTTGCTGGTTCGGATCGTGGGTGTGGACATGGCACTGCTCATCAGGCCATGCTGAGGCGGCGTCCCACACAGCAGAGCCAGAAGGACCTACAACTAGAATATACAACTACCTATTGGGGGTCTTTGGGGAGAAGAAGAAGAAGGAAAAAAAAGATTGGCAACAGATGTTAGCTCAGGTGCCAATCTTTAAAAAAAAATTACAGCTTTAATTTATTGAGCACATGTATATTCCCGTCACTGTGATAGGAACTTCAAATACACATCTCAGTTCAAGGTGGCTTTAAATATTCATTTAAACCAAGAAAAATAAATGTATCAGGGAGACAGGGTTTATAGTCTGACCTAATCAAAAATAATATGCAATCAAGTTATAGTTACTTGACTCTGGAAGTTTTTTTTATTAAGCTTGTTTGTATGGACATGTTGGTGGTTGTTCTAGGTATCACATTATACAGACACCACTTACCACCAGGCTGCTGGGGGTGACTTTTCACCAGTTCAAGTCAAGTGTGGAAATCTTACCCCCCTTTACCCTCCCCTGCTTCTATAATATTCGAATATCCTCTACCTGCCTTGAGAACCACATTAGACAATGTTACACTTTTTGCTTCAATCATCAAACATAATATAGAAAACTCGAGAAGAAAAAAAACCCTATTGTATTTACCTAGATTTTTGCTCTTCCAATTGTTCTTCCTTCTTTCCTGATATTCCAAGAGTCCTTCTTTCATTGTTTTGAGTTGGGAAAATCCAGTTCTCCTGTGTTTCTCCTTTACTGTCACACCACCACCACACTCACAACACTTCTGATACCCGACATGGGGGGTTTTCCCAGAGCAAGCAATTCTCTGCAACACCAGCTGGATGTCCTACAACTTAACTCAGTTCTGACACAATCTTCCCGGAGACGGCATCAGATCCCACAGGTGAAGGGCTCAGTCCCACAAGACCACCCCCACCACCCTTCAGATTCCAATCGCAAGTCCAGTTGTCACCTGTGCTGATTTGCTATAAAATCAGAGGTTCCCACGACTCCCTCATTGGTTTAGATTAATTCGCTAGAAAAAGTCTTAATTTGCTAAAAAAAAAACAAAAGTTTACATGCTGTTTACCAGTTTATTATGAAAGGACATGATAGAGGATACAATGAACATCCAGGTGGAAGGACGCACAGGGCAGGGTGTGGGGGGAGGGGCGGAGCTTCCACGCCCTCTCCAACTGCTGTTCTCCCAGCACCTCCACCTGGTCACCAACCCGGGAGCTCTCAGAACCTGTACTTTCAGGATTTTATGGCGGCTGCATCACACAGGCGTGACTGATCATTAACTCCATTTCCAGCCCGTCTGCCCTTCCTGGAGAATGGGAGGTGGGGCTGAACATGCCAAGCTTCTCATCACGGCTTGGTCTTTCTGCTGAGCAGCCCCCACCCAGGAGCCCACCCAGAGTCACCTCATTAGAACAAAAGACTCTGCTATCACCCAGGAAATTCCAGGGGATTTAGGAACTCTGCCAGGAACCTGGATCAAAGACCAAATATTAGAACAAGAGATGCTCCTAGTGCTCTTGTCACTTAGGAAATTACAAGGGTTTTAGGAACTCTGTGCCAGGAGCCAGGGGCAGAGACCAATATATACATTTTCTATCATCTCACACGTTTCCTTTCTGCTTTGAGAACTTCTTTAAGGGTATGTCTATTGACAGTGAATTCTATTTTCCTTCATCTGAGAAGGTATTTTCCTTTCCTTCCTAAAGAATAATTTCATGAGGTAGAGAATTCAAGGTTGATAATTCTTTTCTTTCAGCACTTGAAAAATGTGCCACTTCCTTCTGGCCTCCAAGTTTTTTGATGACAAATTTGCTTTCATTTGAATTGTTTTCCCCTTACAGACAAGGTATTGTTTTTCTCTCTCTGCTTTCGTGAGTTTTCCTTTGTGTTTAGTTTTCTGAAGTCTGATTATGACGCGTCTTGGTTATTCAGTTTATTCTATTTGGGGCTTGCTCAGCTTCTTGAATCTGTCGGCTTATTAATCTTTTGCCAAACTTAGGAAGTTTTAATTATTTCTTCTTTTACTTTTTCCTAACAATTAAGCAGTTTTTAGTATATTCACAGAGCTGTGCAGCCATTATCACACCAATTTAAGAACATTTCATCACCCAACAAGATGCTTTGTACCCATTAGCAGTCGCTCCTCATTACCCCTCTCCCCAGCCCATAGTAACCACTGATCTACTCTCTGTGGTTTTGGCTATTCTGGACATTTCACTTAGGTGGAATCATACAATGTATGGTCTTTTGTGACTGGCTTCTTTCACTTAGCATAATGTTTTCAAGGTTCATCCATGTAGTAGCATGCATCACTACTTCATTTTAGTTCCAAATAATACTTCATTGTATGGATATACTACATTTTCATTTATCCCTACATCACTTAGACATTTGGGTTGATTCTACTGTTTGACTATTATGAATAATGTTGCTATGAACATTTGTGTACAAGTTTTTGCATGGGCTTATGTTTTCTTCTGAATATATACCTAGGAGCAGAATTGCTGGGTCATGTGATAATTCCATGCTTAACTTTTTGAGGAACTGCCAAACTGTTTTCCAGGTGTCTGCACCATTTTACATTCCCACCGGTGGTGTATAAGTTTTCCTCCACATCTTCCTCAACATTTGTTCTGTCTTTCGGTGACAGCTGTGCTAGCAGGTGTGAAGTGGTACCTCAGTGTGGTTCTGAGTTGCAGTTCCCTGATGGCTGAGGGTATTGACCATCTTTTCTTGTGCTTATTGGCCATTTGCTTATGTTCTTTGGAGAAATGTCTATTCAGATCCTTTGGCCATTTAAAAAATTGGGTTATTTGTGTTTTTAGTGAGTATAATAGTTCTTTATAGATTCTAGATACCAGCCCCCTATGAGATGTATGACTTGCAAAAATTTTCTCCCATTTTGTGGGATATGTTATTATTTTCTTATTTCTTTCAATATTTTTTCACTTCACCCACAACCTCCTTCTGGGACATAGATGACACAAATGTCGGATCTTTTGTTGTAGTTCCACACATCCCTGAGGCTCTGTTTATTTTTTCTAGTCTGTTTCCTCTGTATTGTTCAGATTGGGTAATTTCTATAGTTTCGTCTTCAGCTTCAGGGTCACTGACTATTTTCTCTCTCCTCTCTATTCTGCTCTTGAGCCCATCCATTCAGGGTTTTTATTTTGGCAGGTGTATATTTCAGTTCTAAAATTTCCATTTGCTGCTTCTGTTTTCGTCTATTTCTTTGCCGAGATTTTCTTTTTTTTTTTTTTATTGTTTCAAGAACGTTTGTAATTGTTCACTGAAGCATTTTTTTGGTGGCTCGTTTAAAACTTTTATCATACAGTTCCAACATCTGTGTCATCTCAGTGTTGGCGTCCTTTGACTGTCTTTTCTCATTCAAATTGAAAATTTTATGACTCTTGGTCTGATGAGTGATTTTGGCTGTATCCTGGACATTTTCAGTATATGTTATGAAATCCTGGGTGTTATTAAATCTGTTAGCAGGCCGCCTCTTCACTGCTCCAGGGTGGACTGGGGGTGCTGCCTCCTTTCTGCCAAGTGGGGCTGGAAGTCCAGGTTCCCTACTCAGGCTCCCCTCTTGGCTTCCCTTCTGCCTGGAAGGAGGAGGAGCACCCCAGTGACATACGGGACGGGGGAAGGCCTTGTGAGGCTGGACAGTGCTGAATGTTCTCAGCCTCTGACATCATCACAGGAGGATTCTTATTCTGTGATATTTGATTTGAGTAAGGAAGGTGGTTATTGTCTAAAACTTTTCTGTCTTTTTCTTTTGTTTCCCTTGCCTGAGTAGACACAGTATTGGAAAAGATGCTGCTAAGACCAATGTCAAAGAGCGTACTGCCTATATTTTCTTCCAGGAGTTTTATGGTCTCAGAACTTACATTCAAGTCCTTACCACTTTGAGTTAGTTTTGTGTACGGCGTAAGATAATGGTCTACTTTCATTCTTTTGCACGTGGCTGTCTGGTTTTCCCATTTATTGAAGAGACTTTCCTTTCTCCACAGTATGTTCTTGGCTCTCTTGTTGAAGATTAGCTTGTCCATAAATGTGCCAATTTACTTCTTGGCTTTCAATTCTGTTCCATTGATCTGTGTGTCTGTTTTTGTGCCAGTACCATGCTGTTTTGATTGCTATAGCTGTGTAGTATATTTTGAAGTCAAGGATTGAGATACTTCCAGCTTTGTTCCTTTTTCTCAGGATTGCTTGGCTATTCAGGGTCTTTTGTTGTTCCATATAAATTTTAGGATTCTTTGTTCCATTGCCATGAAGAATGACATTGGGATTCCAATTGGGATTGCACTGAATCTGTAGGTTGCTTATGTAATATGGACACTTTAACTATGTTTGTTCTTCCAATCTATGAGCATGAAATATCTTTCCATTTCTCTCTATCTTCTTCGATTTATTTCAATAATGTCTTATAGTTTTTAATGTATAGGTCTTTCACTTTCTTGGTTAAATTTATTCCTAGATATTTTATTCTTTTTGTTGTGATTGTAAATGGGATTATATTCTTGATTTCTCTTTCTGCTACTTCATTATTACTGTATAGAAATGCAACTGATTTTTGTATGTTGATTTTGTACCCTGCACCATTGCTGTAATTGTTGATTATTTTTAATAGTTTTCTGGTAGATTCTTCAGGGATTTGTACTTATAGAATCATGTCATCCACAAACAGTGAGAGTTTTACTTCCTCTTTTACAATTTGGATCCCTGTTATTTCTTTTTCTTGCCTAATTGCTCTGGCCAAAACTTCCAGTACTATGTTGTGAGAGCAAACACTCTTGTCTTGTTCCTGTTCTCAGAGGGATGGCTT